GTACAGTTTTACTGTACGGTACCTGGGTGAATTTTGATCTGTACTAGGAAAAATACCTGAACTGGAAACTCTCCTCAGATAGACGGACTTTTCATAACAGACATGGCCGAAGATGTGGAAAATGCACTACTATACAGTATAGTACACTGAGTACAGTACAGTCGTACTTTATTTAGAAAAAGAATCAGTCCCTTCAGAAGCGACTGTCAGCATACTAAAGCATTGTCATAATGAAGTGGTTGACACAAGTTCTTGATCAAATCAGGCCAGGCGTCTGTCCATCCAATGGAGTTTCCAGTCCAGGTATTTTTTTCCTAAAATAATAGTCCATGTAGTACGAGACTCCACGCTGCTAGCGATCGCCATTACCGACCGGTACACGGGTACAGACCATATTGTGCAGTATAGAGTAGAGTGACTTGTTGGCAAAATAGCAGTATCTTCGACGGCCTACAGTCTATGCTGTACAATGTACAGTATGTTCACTACACTGTACAGTACTGTACTTTGCTCCGAAGTACTGTACAGTACTCTACTGTACTGTACTCTCCACTAACAGAGGGACATTAGTGTACATTATTTTAGTTTAGTTTTTAGTTATTTTAGAAAAAAAATCAGTCCCTTCAGAATCGGCTGTCAGCATACTAAAGCATTGTCATAATGAAGTGGTTGACCCAAGTTCTTGATCAAATCAGGCCAGACGTCTGTCCGTCCAATAGAGTTTCCAGTCCAGGTATTTTTTTTTCCTAATAGTCCATGTACTGTAGTACGAGACTCGACGCTGCTAGCGATCGCCATTACCGGTACACGGGTACAGACCATATTGTACAGTATAGAGTAGAGTGACTTGTTGGCAAAATAGCAGTATCCTCGACGGCCTACAGTCTATGCTGTACAGTGTACAGTATGTTCACTACACTGTACTTTGGAACAAAGTACTGTACAGTACTGTACCGTACTCTACTCTCCACTAACAGAGGGACATTTACAGTAGTGTACTGTACAGTAAACTATTTTAGTTTATTTGAACATCGCTTGATGTGCTCAGTGGGCTCTTCTACTTTACTATGTAGGTATGCAAGTTTTGTCGACACGTATTTCTTTCTAGTGGCCCGTGCAACATCCAGAAGTAGTATCAAGGAATAAGCTCATCTATTTTCTAGCCGCTTCTACTGTACTGTACTGTACGCTCTATGCCTTCAATTTGAGTTCAATACAGTACTACTGTACAGTGTACAGTAGCGTGTACTGTACTCCATGCGACTTTGACCGTAAAGAGCCACAGTACTATGTACAGTGGACACTGTACAGCGCGGTACGGCGTCAATACTGTTGGATATCGCCTGACCGCCGGTATTGTACACCCCCCCCCCCCCAACCTGTTGACCTGTACTACAGCACAAGTACAGTATCGAAATTTTTCAATTGCGTGCATTTTCCAGCAGTGACACCCCGGTGTATTACCATATTTGGTGAATGGTAAGTATTGTTCAATGGAAGTTAATTACCTCGGAGATATTTTCCAATCTTATTCATCAATCATGATAGAATTATAAGCTTTTGCTTTTGGCAACTTTACTTAACCATAAGATACAGTAGTGTGTACTATCTTCAATTAACAATTTCCATCACTGTCGACACTCTGTTTTTATGCTCACTTTTACAAATGGTATCGAAATAGCGTAGATAGGTATGTCCAATGGTGCATTCTTTAGTACTGACGTACCCGTACAAGGGGGTCTGCAGCCAGGGGCTTTTATACGAGTCCCTTTGCTTGTCGTTGGCTCAAAGCAAGACGGTCGTGTGTCCATTTTTTTTGGGGGGGGGGGGAGAACGCAATCGCCATTTCTTTTACTATTAGTCGCTTCTGAGTGAAGAAAAGAATCACACTGACATATTCGATATTCGTTTTACGAACACGTTCAAGAAGAAGTACTGTAGTAGGCAGCGCGATAGCTCTTCCACGGCTTGAATAGTCATACGCAATGCACAGTAAAGTGTACACTATAGGGCTGAACATATCGACAGTACTGGACTGTATAGAGTCAAGATGCAATCATTTCACTCTTGACAGAAAACTTGCTAAACGATGATTAACTGCAGTTTGAGAGATGATAAAATATCATTAATCCAATCATGGATCATTTCTTTTTGCCTTTATACATGACATTTTATTTCAGATATACTTCATGCAATGTTTGCCACTTGGTATCCATTTCATTTTGTTATAAATGGGTAGAATAGAGGAGATACTCGTGGTAATAAAGTGACCATAATGGACTCACTGTCGTGAGTTCTACCTTTTCATTAATAGTGGTCGAAGAAAATCATGCATCCATTTTCAATCTTATACGAGTGCCTTGAGCTATGTATAATCATTCCATAATACCCTAAATCGATATTGCCGACTAGAAGCTTCTATCTCTACATATTGACAGCAGCACTGCCATTTTTCACGCATGAGAGGAAGACAATTACATTACATTGACCGTCATTTGTATTGCAAATGTTGCTTGGCCATTGGCGGTGAAAGATTGTTAGACGCAAGTTTATCATGTCAGTCTTGACTACGGTAATTGGATATTGGACAGATTGATGACATTGACTGATAGCTAATGCATTGCTGGTAGTATTACTATTTGCATTACTTTGACATTGTCCATTAAAAGCAATGATGAAATATTTATTGTACAAGGCTACATTTGTTCGCATAGAATGTTGAATGTTTATACCTCATGCGGAGATTGATTACTGCAATGCATGTACTGTACTATACTGTAAATATTGCCGAGTTGTACAGCTAGCAGTATCGTTTATTAGAGTAAAGTTTTCTCCCAAATTCCTGCTGTTACAGTATTTCAATTCTTTTCGTTACGATGGAATATTTCAAAGTTAAATTACAATCATATACTGCCTTGAAAAGAATTCAATTTAGTTTACAATTCGTCCATTGACTGATTTCATGCTACATTTTAGCAGCTATCATTTATGATAGAATACTGTACGCAAGTTTTTGCGGCATTGCTGCTCAAACTTGGGAGCAATTGACAATACTTTACCCACCAAGAACATCGATGTTAAGGATTTGTCGTGTTTGCTATTGTAATATGTCTAAAGTATTAGTTTGTTTTACGATATTGTTTGCTTAATAATTATCGTACGGAATGTGTACTTTTCTTATTTTGGGATTGACAAATGATTTTTTGTCATGTACTTTGAATTCTTTAGCCTAGCAATTGCTCCATTTTTGATATCGAAAGAATACGTGCAGTATTTTACGGGTAAACCTGAGAATCATTACCATTAAATGTCGAAAAATTGGAGCGATTGCCAGTAATATCGATTATATTACAACATGTTCTAGGTACGTTGAGCGTGTAGTCGTACAATATATATCCAGACCCAAAATTTTTTCATATTCAGTATGTAATTTCAAAATTTACATACAAAATCATTGAAATTTTCATGTACCAGATGCGCTACTACACTAGCATCATTTATTGATGTGCGCATAACACATTACTGATTAACTCGTAGTTTATTTTGCAAATAAATGACACTTATAAGTATTGAAGTAAATTGGGGGTACCTATGAAACTCACCTATCCATCATTGACTTTATTTAAAAATCAAATACTATCAGATTCGATGGTATATTCCGTTCGCTATGTTGCCTCGTAGGAGTATTTGCATTACCGCAGTTAATCGTGGTATGAGCTGTGTATTCAGAGAGCTTTTCTGTCTGCTATTGATTTTTATTTGATCACAGTATTCCAGGCAGCCATCTGCACTCAACAAAGTTATACTTATTCACAATAGACTATAAAAATGGAATATTTTTAGCTTTACCTACGGTTACGATGGAAGATCTTGAAACTTCTATTTCTAAACGGAGCCAAATTTGAGATATATGAGCAAAGGCGTAGACCATATCTTCATTTGTACTATTACAGTAATCAATAATATGCTAAAATGTAAATTGGGGTAGAAACTACAGCATTATACTGCTCATTTAATAGGCTTGTTTCAAGTAAAACAACTTCCCTTTCACTCCTAACAACCTTTCTAAAGAATTATTTTTTAGAATACTTTATTGTGAACTGTACACTAACTTATCTCTATTCATGAATGTAAAGCACTCTGTATTCATTTAGATAAGGCATTATACGTATAATGTACTTAGATTTCAGGTATGGGAAACATTTTACGAATTTTCTTTCAAAGCAGCTGTGACAGCAGCGGTTCTAACCATGATTTATTCATCGATATCCAAAGTAAGCAATCAACAGGTATTTCATGTTCATTTTTGATTGAGTACGGACAGCACTTTTTTATATTTGGTTAACTGTTCAAGATGCTTTACCCGACGACGAAGATCAAACTGCATATAATGTAGTCAATGGTGTTCTGGAACATTCGTCACAAATGGTTAATGACCTCGAATCTTATAAAGGGGCGACTGAAGAGATTCGAGATGCGATCTCGCAGCCCAATAATGACTATCAGCAACGGCAGACTTGGCGAGAAGTCTGCAAATTTGTTACAGTTTTAAAAAGATTATATGAATATTCACAAGAAATCGGTAGGCTTGTGTCAAATTTGCATTCGTTGCACGGAGTTACACTATAATCTGTACGCATATATATATATACTCGTATAATACATATAAGCATACATCCAATTAGGAATAGGACATGTTGGTGTTTCAATTTATATATGATATGATATATTTACTAATATTACCGCTTAGAGAATATTGTTCCACAATTACTGTATCCCTTATGCAGTGGACCACGTACGCCCATAGAGCATTGCCAGAGTCAGCAGGTGAACCTGAATACTAATCTAAATAAATGGTTTGAGGATCTAAATCTGTATTTTTACATTAATTTATACGAGTACATTTCTTTACTGTTATCGTTTGGTAATTTTAGAATAAAGCTCTCATATTGCTCACATATCATACTTACGACTTACCGTAATCGAAATTATACAGGCTCTGATCAAGCAATTTGCAGAAGTTTTGCATTTTACTCTGATATTTGATCGACTAAAGGTAAAATAACTTCCTATTATTAAAAACATCATGCTACTTTCTTTGACCTAATGCGGTATCCTATGATGACATCTACTAAAGTGTTAACTGATCAATGATGGTAGATGAAGAATCCAGCAATACAAAATGACTTTAGTTATTTTAGAAGGATGCTACAGAAGATGGTTCAGGAATATCATGTCTGTATAAAAGCGTAAATACTTCAGTAGAAGTATTTATTTTAGTGTATTCGTAAATGTAAATATTAGTACTAGAAACTCTGTCTATCCTTATTTAATCATTAGGAAGAAACCGTTGAAATGTCAATGGATACTGCAAACAGAATGTCTTTATTTTATGCAAGTCCAACTCCAATGTTGAAGATGTTAAGTAACGCGACAACAAAATTTGTAGCTGAGGTTAGTAATCATATAACGCGAACGAGTAATTTGTAATTCTATTTTAACATCTGTGACTTAGTAAACTAATGTACTGTGACGATAATCATCATTTAATATAAAATCTCTCGTAATTTAACTATAGAACCAATCCATCCCTATAGAAAATACAACACTCTATCTTAGTACTTTGGCTAATACTTTAAAGAACATGATAAGTAATCCGTAAGTGAATTTAATTCGCAATGGTTACTTGAGACAATGCTCTGAGTGAAAGATAGTAAAAATAGAAACATTATTCGAACGATTTATTCTAGTAGTTAAAATAACTTTATTCGCTATAGAAAATATTCCTCAAATTTTACAAGTGAAAGTGAAATTCAATTCTCTATTTGCGTCATGGTAATCATATTTAGTAATAAAATTCAACAACAAATTGCAAGTCGTTAGTAACTATTTATAAACCTTAAAATCTGTCTTATAGGTTGGTGTCATAATTCTGTATGATCACGTTCATCCATTTGGAGCCTTTTCGAAAAAATCTGATATAGATGTAATTTGCATTGTGATCAATTTCTTAAATTCCTTACCTGGAATGATTCTAGTTTAATAACATAGTTTTATTAATCTATCTGGGTTGTTGATATGTTGACGGAATATCAGGTTACAGGCGCTATCAAGGTGATTAAAAGTAACAATTTAAACAATAAGCAACATCTACTTGATGCTTTAAGGTAAGCGTGGCATATAAATTAGAATGAATTGCTGTGGATTAATTAATGTGCAATGAAGGAAGCGTTAGTTACTGACGGTGATTCATGTTAACTAACGTATCGATACCAAAAAAATTTGTGCCACTACACTATAGGCTTTCATGATATTATCTTAGTGCTAGGAGATTAGTTATATTTTGGTATTGCTGAGTTTTGTTGTGTCATTTCATTTTAGATTTTCAACGGTACACTATGGGGATGAATCTACTCCCAAATCAGTAAAATATTTACTTGAGTAATATCTTGTTGCGATGAGATAGATGTTTCGCGTGTTTTAGACTGGTTGTTTCTATGGGAAACGTTACGTAAATGTGATTATCAGTCGTTTTTGAAGTTTGATTATCGAATTTGTATTTGTATCATGTTTGCATTTAATGCAATGTCTTCATGTTACATTTCAAAAATGATTATATCATTTCCAAATAAAAAAATGTTACGGTTCTGTACAGCAATTATACCGAAATTTTAGAATATGAAGTACTCGTAAGACATACAACGCTGTTATGATGCGTTTAGAAAATGAAACGCTGTCTGAATTGTGATTTGGAAGGTATTTCTTGAAGTATCAGTTGAGTTTCTGTAGGGTCTCGACACGGAAGCACAACAGAAAACCGTAACTGCTAGGTGTACAATACTAGCAGCATTTAGCATCGATATTTATTCATCATTATTATAGACTCACTGTGGGTGCATGAACTGCGGAACAAAGTACTTTACATGAACTTAAGGTGATGATATCTGTATAGCATGTTACTGTATACTAAGTATCGAACAAACAGCCAGCAAAGCGGTCGGTAGCTGAGTTAGCACTGTAATACTGACATTGAACAGGTGTAACTGTAATGTATCGCATTTATTTCTTCTGTATTAAGATAAAGCACTGGATATTATGGGTGTTACATTGCAGTCCTATTAAACTGAATTACGACCGAATATACAGTTTTATTTATTTTTCTGGCTGTAAATTCCGAATTCACTTTAACTACGGTATTCTTTATGGTAAATATTGTCTGATTTTGACCGAAACCCCAAGTTCCAATTTTTTTTCGCAGGAAACTATCAAGATTCCTGCAAATTGTACGAGTAGTAGTCGTATTTATAATCGAGGATCAACTGTAAAGGCTCTGATTTCACCTTAGACACAATGCAAGACGTACCGACATAGTATTCTGTTTTAGAGTATATATATAAGTAAACGTATAAAAACACATCGGATATCCGAGTTGGTGGATGTGATATTTTACAGCACTGCACTACAAGATGGAAGTGTACGAAACATAAAAGCAGTAAACGGGTGCGATGGTATGGTCAGGGACTTTTCTCTCCTCTTTTAATTTTTAAAAGTCCCTGGTAAGAAATACCCTATAACCACATACAGCTGTCGTTTACATACAGCGTTATTAATCTTCTCACTCTAGGGTAATGAATTGCGGCCTACTGAATGTTTATCTGTATGTTATTTGTCAATTATTATCAATAAAGTACTATACATTAGTAGCGAATCGCCTGTCCTTTAAGCAAACTTGCAACTTAGTAAGTTATAGCTGATAACTTGATCATACAGCGGAGAGATCTAGAGATTCATACTTGCAACACGGATTGGCAAAGTAAGGTAAATTGTTGTGATTCTGCTAATCAGCAAGATACACCTCATAAAGGAAGTTCAAGCATGTAAGGATGTTTGCAATCGTTGTAAGGATAATCAATAAAGGTAATCCCATTTCAATAAGCATATTGGGACATCTTTAATTCCGAGAATAATAGCCGGAGTACTTCGATGAATTCCCCTAGAAAATCCCATAACGCAGTCTGATTGCAAATGACAACCATGCACTCGAAGAAACCTACTTCTGTAGTTGTCTACTACTGTACGTACTGTCCTTTCTTCTAATAAAAGTGCTGATCGGAGGATAACTAGAGAAATACTCGCATGTAATGTACACTCAGTAGACTGCATTAATAAATCTAAGTTTTGAAAAGAGTAAGCTCACAACAGCTTTACGACTTAATGTATATAAGTGGTAGTCTCCTAATATAAATTCTTAAGGAATTCTATTTACTAAAAGTCAACTGTCGCCGTTTCAAATACTGATCCAACACCGTTTATAAAAATGGCCTGCAAAATAGCGTTGGATCAGTAATTTAAAACGGAGATAGGCCACTTTTAGCAAATAGAGTTCCTTCAGAATGAACAAGAGGAGACTGCTCCTAATAAACACTAAATCGTGAAGCTGTTGGGAAATATTTAATATTGAAATTTATGTATGTTATAATCCAGTCGAAATTGTACACAGTACGGTACTGTAGTGTATTGCTGCCCTCAGAGAAGTACTGGACTCCTGGACACTTAGTTTAAGCAGTATTGTATAGCCTACGTATACGTATATATGTCATATATATATATATATAACAGTACTGACATCCGACATATGAACTCTGGATCAGAATCCAAGTAACACGAGTAATAACTCGTATTCCGCTTCTTGAGAAAACCTCCATCAGTAATTATTGCAAAATTATCCTTGGGATAAAATTCATTATCATTGCATCTCTTTGGTGTTACATGTGTGGCAACACTTCCAGTATGGTGGCCCCTTTTGTTATTAATGCTACTGCAAAGCAGACCGCTACCGTAAGTATTTCAACCCATTATATAAAGTAAAATAGCGAAGGCTTCTTGTTCACGTTCTTTTCACCCGATATAGTCAAGACAAGAATAGTAACTAATCTCACCAAGAAGAATGTATTTAGCCAATTCTGTTTGCTACGTCACTTGATTTGATCCTACCATTATGTCTTTCGGAAATTATTCCTTGCAATTTACAATGCTTGGTGATGATGTTTTCACTTTTTCTAATCAATTCCTTATAATCAATTGGTTATAACTAGGTGATTTTCCTGCATGGTCTTGGCGATACTGGGTATGCTCACCTTATGACTGTCTTTCTTACATATTCTATCAATGATATTACATCACGTAAATTTCGGGTATTACTCGTCAGCAGTTTTATCCATAGACATTGTTATCGATTTGTATTCGTAGTGCTCAGTTTAAAGAGATCCTTTTTTCTTTTTTATCGTAGTTTGAAATTGGCAGAGATAGATTCCATAGCCATACATTACAATTGACTGATTATCTAAACAAGTCCGTCTTGTAAAGCAGTAGCCACAGTAATATACTGTAGATTTAGCAATGGTCATAACTGTAGTCGTAGCAATTTTATTACTATAGCTATAGTAGTTTCAGTTTCAATACTTTTCTATCAAACTCGTCCATTACTATTAAAGATAAAAACAACGTAGATCTTAATACCGCACTTTCCAATTGAATCTTGCAAATTGCAACACCAAACGTAAATTATATTATATAAAACGGCCACGTAGATACAGTATACTGTATATGCATTATCGTTATGGCGTATCTACAGACAATGTAACATCTTTTTTGTGTTTGATTTAAATACTTGGGGCACTGAATGGGCAGTATCTACTGTGATAATCTTAATATTCGAAGCTTTACTATAATGAAAAGTGAGATACTCAACATAGGACACGTATCGAGGTTAATCAAATGGAAAGAATGGATGTAGAGTAAAATAGACAAGATCATAAAAGGACTGACTGATATTATTGATACACCTATTTAAAACATACTGATTGTGATACTGATTCTCTAGATTGATAGTTACCTAATATACTGTAATTGATACTCACCACAGTAGTACTTTTTTGCAATATATTGAAAGACGCAGTACATAATAATTTCAAAGACCTACTACTAACTACATTAAATACAATTTTTTACTCTCATTTCCATTAAATCTTTCAGTAGAATCTTTTGTAAAGATTCACGTATATCTTCAATTTATGATTTAAAGAGCAGGATGGTGCAGCGCTTTCCAAGAAATCTGTCGCCCTTACATCAAATATATTTTCCCTAATGCGTAAGGATCCTTATTGCAACCAATTTCTGACATGATGTTGTATTACATCTTACAGCTAAACATAATTAGCGGTTTGGACTAGACTCATTCTTGATAAAAAGAACGCCATCACCGCTATTAAATTAATGCTAGCGTAGTCAAACCTTTTTGCAAAGTACCGTAAAGTAGATAAGTGCACGCGTTACACCATAACCTATGATATAATCGATACATTGTTATGATACTGCATGTACATTCTACTTTTTCCAAGTGCCAGTTATCTTTATGGTACGATGATATCTTATAAGATATTAGTAATAAAATTTTTAACTTATAGTGCTACGCATTAATAAATAATTAATATTTGTACTATAATCGTAGAAGGATTTTCAAAGTTTTATGCGATGTTTCCTCAGTATTTTTTTAATAAATTTAAAAATTACATTTATTATCTATTATCTTAAACATGGAAATTGTCATTTGCAGACCAGAATCCCCAGTGACTCTCAACGGTGGAGCAGTCATGCCATCTTGGTAAGTCAACATCAGATCTCGTGGTTCGATATATATGCTATTGCAACATTATCTCTTTTTAACTTAAGCTATAAATTTATCAAGGATGTCTTTATTCACGTATGATACGCCACATAAGAAATTGTACTGTATATCATGATGTGCATACAGACTATAAATATTACCACAATTACATAAGAAATTGTAGGATTGTAATCAATCATGTCTATAATCTTTCCAAGCAGTAGTAGAATTACTTACTACTTACACACCGTTAACTGTTATCGCCAGGTTCGATCTAATAAGCCTTTCACTTAGTGGACCTGAAGATGAAAAAGGAATTAAAGCATCCACTAATCACGGTTGGTGTAGTGGACTGTATTTTTTATTGCTGCATGTTTATTCATATCCAAGATAATACTAGAATTGCTTTACAACATGATAGACACACTGAATCATAGCACGTATGGACAACTTAACTTAGTCGTTTTCGTTTCCAAAGTATTATAATCTTATACTTTTACTGTAGACTAGGCAATGTCTGTACATCTCAATGCGTAAAACAGCATCAGAAATTAGAAAACTATAAAAGACTATAAGACGTACAATACATGATAGTCATCATATTGCGAAGCTATTTTCTATAATACTGTAGCTGATTTTTGTGCTATCTCTTAAAAGTCTATCTTCTTTTTAATTTTTGGGGGCTTTTTTCTATATATGTCGACCATGCCTTTAGTACGAGATTTGATCTCTGCTGAATTAAACAATGATATAGCTAGCAATCGAATAATCATAGGTTAGTATAACCATATTTATAAGTCATTAATTTATAGCTCCAGAGATATTATGCTGAGTAAACTAAGTTATACCCATCCTCAATTTTCAAGGTGGTTTTTCACAAGGCGGTGCAATTGCGCTTAACACCGCTCTGACCTATGAAAAAAAACTAGGTGGCATTATAGGACTGAGTACATTTCTGGTTAATAGAAATTCAATACAACAGGTACAATCTATATTGTCAGTTAATTATATTTTAGGATTGATTACAGTACCACTTATAGATTAATATGACAATGCTACCCTATAATATTGTATTATTTACATTAAACATTTAATTGTGAGCAACGCTGATTGATAATGATACAATCTTATATCGTTACAAACATCTCAATCAAGAACAGTCTTACTAGTCTAGTCCATCAAACCCATCTTTATTGATTCTTAATAATGGTGTAGATAGTTTTCTAAAGTAGTGGTCCTTTTTGATAGGAAATAAATGTAAATAAGGATTGTCCAATATTTCAAGGCCATGGTAAGCAAATGATGATATCGTATTTGCCGTGTTGTCTCGTAACGTTAGATCACTAAAATATTTTTCAATGTCGAAATTGTAAAATTAGGCGATTGCGATCCTCTAGTAAACCTTCGATTCGGATTAATGACCAAGCAAATACTATCATCTTTCAATCCGAATGTGAATTTTGTTACATATCCAGGAATGATGCACAGCTCATGTCCTCAGGAAATGGAAGATGTCAAGAAATTTATTGATGAACGATTGCCAAATCAATAATGCGAAAGAGAACAGAAATGTTACGTATTGCTTCTTTGTACTGATGTTATTTATTTCAAGCACTGTTATAGGATTTGTGATGAGATAGTAGTAAAAGAGTATTGGTTGGAGATAAATACGTTATATTTGTTTGTTGGAATAGCTCAATAATTTCGTAAATAATATAAAAGTTATTAGATAAACTTCATTATCCGTCAATCACGTAAGAGATTTACGTTAGAAAAGTCTCAATAACAATGCTCAGAGCTACCAAGGTGTACTCTGCATGATAGCATTTTAGAATTTTTTATGTATTGTAGTAGTTATTTTGAATTGAAGGGTAACACTTTGTTTGATAAGCAAGTTTTAATTATGTGAAATTGACATTAGGTGAAGTTTCCTACTCTGATTTACGTAGTTGGTACTTGTGTGCAAGGTATAGTAATAAATGGTTAAAAATCGGTAATAAAAAGATTAGGTCCGTAATTCCTTTCCTCAATGGGGTATTGTTTTTGCTTGAGCACTCTTGGTTATGTAATTTAAAAAAATGAATCTGTAATATTTGCATCAGTCAGATTGAGGTAATGTCAGAGTTAGTAAAATACAGTACAGTACCTGGAATAGACAATTCCTATACTCATCATTGTATAAGCTGCTTGATTAATTCATTAACTTACATACTGTGCGAGCATGTATTGATTAACCCCTGAAGTTTACCAATGCCCAATTAAAGCGTTTACATCTTACGAATAACAATGGCCTTATTTATATCTTCACATGCTGTGGGCAATGATATTTTCAACGGTGTAGCTTTCATCTTTAAAATCTATATGGCTGCTTGCGAAAGTTGACATTTTCTGTCATAACGAAGTGAATAAAAATCTCGGAAATGTTCCTATACTCAAAATTGAGGGAGTTCCAACAATAACTTTTAGCCATAGGTGTGTTATATATATATATATATACGCGTATATACATGGACATGCTGTAGGGCTATCCTTGGATATATAAATACGCGTATTGGCCGAATATCGGGTTTTGGGCGTAATAGTATGTTACGGCCATTCCTAAGAATGATTTTGTCCTCGAGACTTAGGGCTATCTTTGAATACATATATATATATACGCGTATATATACATCGACATGCTGTAGGGCTATCCTTAGCGTCATCTTGATCTTGACGAATAATATTATTCTGGAGCAGTTACTTTTATAAATTGAAGCTACATCATTCAACCTCTGCCTTCCTCTACTACTATACATATAATGATATAAATACAGATTGAAACAATAATGCAGAAATTAGGCCAACCTGGCGCTTGGCCATATTTAAGTAATTATATATCTATCATGATCAAGGAGTTTTGTTGTACACTTTTGTAGTAGTAAGTGCAATCCACTGTCACATGCAGTAGAGCAATCCCATACTGTACCGTATGCTAGGCTGAGATACGTGATAGGCTTGCATAAATATTGTCACCCTATTTCGTCTTTCAGGTGATACTGCTGCCTGTTGCTAAATCCAAAATTTGTCTCCGTTATTACTACAGTAATTTTAGTCTTTTCCATTTGGAAGCAAGGGATGACAATAACTTTGCACACTACCAGCATTATTACCAGTAGTTGACAAGAGCTTGTATAAAAAATGATGCCACCGTTAGCGATTGATTACCTTTTTGCTCAATGTACCCAATGACTACGAACACCATTTTTTCTTGCCCAATAATCAGTCAAATTCATCAAGTCATGATTCCTTCTACAGTTTTACTGTAGTCTACAGTATAGTTTGGAGCAGTAATTTGACAGTATCCGCGACTGGACAATTGGCTAGCAAAAGTAATGTCACTTGTATAGGCCTACAGTACTGGCTATTGTACTATGCTACCTCTCTATACGTGACATTCTTTTTGGTCCATACTACTCAGTAGTATGCACACCTTGTGATGCCATATAAGTGAGAAGAAGATCTGCTGTAGTACAGTATGTATAGCCAGTATAGGCAGTCAAGGCTCTCGCTTGCAGCCATTCCACTTGCAAGCCTAAACAAGACCAAGACAAGCTATCCAACATGAATGCCGATATTGAATTGCATATTAAGCCATAACTGTATTAAGTTATTTATGGTGTAATAGCACGATTGACTGGACAGTTGGCTAGCAAAAGTAATGTCACTTGTATAGGCCTACAGTACTGGCTATTGTACTACTATGCTACCTCTCTATACGTGACATTCTTTTTGGTCCATACTACTCAGTAGTATGCACACCTTGTGATGCCATATAAGTGAGAAGAAGATCTGCTGTAGTATGTATAGGCTGTCAAGGCTCTCGCTTGCAGCCATTCCACTTGCAGGCCTAAACAAGACCAAAACAAGCTTTCCAATATGAATGCCGATATTGAATTGCATATTAAGCCATAACTGTATTAAGTTATTTATGGTGTAACAGCACGATTGACTGGACAGTTGGCTAGCAAAAGTAATGTCACTTGTGTAGGCCTACAGTACTGGCTATTGTACTATGCTACCTCTCTATACGTGACATTCTTTTTGGTCCATACTACTCAGTCTCATGCCTCAGTAGTATGCGCACCTTGTGATGCCATACAAGTGAGAAGAAGATCTGACTGTAGTATGTATAGGCAGTCAAGGCTCTCGCTTGCAGCCATTCCACTTGCAAGCCTAGACAAGACCAAGACAAGCTTTCCAACATGAATGCCGATATTGAATTGCATATTAAGAATCAATATACGTGGAAAAGATTGCCAGCTAATATCAAACGGGTAATGCCATAACTGTATTAAGTCATTTATGGTGTAATAGCACGATTGACTTCTGTCTTAGTTGTCTTGAAGGCTTTTTCTCTGAGAGGATTACAGTAGAGAGATCAAGCATTGATTGACGCTTGCCAATTAGAAATTAATGTTGTCGTCTTAGCTTTGGTAACTCTGTCGATTCATTGATCATGTTCGAAAATTCTATCAATTAGTTGTAGTAGCGAGGATAAATCTGACTTATTGATTTGTAACAAATAATGGGTTGATCGTATCTAGTGATGTTGTATCATATAGAATAGAGTAGTTAAGCTTCTGAAAGTGTTGATCAACGTAGTATTGATTGACATCGGTTATCACTCATGAATGATGGCCATACTGTAAATTGCCATCCAGTGCTTGTTATGGACTGGAATCACTGTAATCCATTTGTTCCATGATAGTTAGAGGTGTAACCCCACTCAAATCATCATCAGTATGATGTATTGGTTGAAATACTGAAAAAAAAAATGCAATCAATTACCTCAGTCTTGATTTCGATAACTACACGAAGGACTACTGATATAGTATAAGTAGAATAATAATAATGACTGCCAAGTTCGATATTGGTTTTACCTGAAACTTGACCAATGGCAATCTTTAGTCATGGATTTTTGGCTAACAAAAAGAGAACTTGAGTGTGTTGAATAGTATATCGACTGTACTTGATGATGCTGTTAACCTAGATAATGTACTGTATTGACTTGAACGTATAGCATTAAAGTCACAATCAACCGACTATCATGAGCGATCATGATGATATTTTTGTATCATGATACGTTTGTTATGAGTGGTAATATTAGATTTGCGAGTAAAATACCAAATATTCTAGCTATAGGATCCTAAGGAGCAGATGTAGAATTCGTATTATTTAGCCTTATCGTTGATTACTTTGTAGCTGTTACACGAATATATAGTAGATCACCTATCAATTAATATTATTACCGATGTTAAACGACTAGCTAACTAACGTTCTAAATTGTTATACAGTAGTTACCAATTGTGATGATACAGTATATAAATTATGAATTTACTTACACGTATTTACTATGTCAATCGCTAGGCTTTAGGTAACTCTGTCAAAAACTGGGAAAAACTCGTTGTTGAATACAGCATCAAGCATCAACTGCGCTGGCGAGGAAATATCGGTTAGATTCGATTTGTTAGAATTTCATCTACGATTACGATTACTGTAAAATAGGCATATGACCTCACAGGATATTGGCTAGTATTCTTATATTTTGACGTCAATGATAAATGCTGATTGACCCCCTCTACTTGCAGAATATGGAGATAAAATTAAATCAAGCGGTTCCTTATAAAACTAATAACAAAATTTATTCATATTTTGATCATCCTTAGATCAGTTGATATTAAATATATCGTTAATTATGACATCTGCTACGAGTTATTATTAACTGCATATAATGAATATTTTAAATTTTTCTTCTCTAGCATTGTCTTCATCCGGTCTATAATACATAATGAAATACAGTATATTAATGCACAGATTCGGCAGTATTAACTATTTATGATTTATTCAATTTTTGCTAAGGATACTGAGATATTAATGATACTTTCCAATATTTAATTATTTGGCCCTGTTGCTTGAATGGTTATCGCTACTGTTGTAGCCATTGTTTTTTATTTATTCGTATATCTAAAGCAATGGTCATTATTATTAATTTTATATTTTGTTATGCTGCAATCCAGTGAGGTTTATTGAAAAAGATGAAAAGGCTTATTGCCAAGAATTAATCAACTACAGTCGATCCCATCTAATGGTATAGCAATCTGAATTTAAAGCATGATTGTATCGGGAACATAGCAGATATTGTTTCACTATTTGCTAGAAATTTTACTTAAATTTACCACATTTATATCAATTTAGAACACTATATATACCGTATTATCTCTGCATACGAGCTATGTGATTTAGATTACAGCATATTGCACTAATACATTTTAGCTTACTAGTCGTTTATTAACAAGCAACCAATGATTTTAGTACTATTTGTAAAGAAAATGTGATGATATTATAATTTTAAATATCATTTAATCTCAATTTGTATAGTTATATCCTTATCATCTGACTGATGTAATCTTGAAAGGACTGCGAATTTCACCTTTTGCCTATTGCTTGGAAATCATAGAAGATATGATGACGAAAGAAAAAAGCTACGATTCTTTACCCAATTTTACTGCGGCGGATTGTATGTACTTATTTATCTTTGTCGATATTATTTCTATATCTACTATACAGGGAAAGTGGTTGATGTGCATGCAAGTATATGATGTTATGTGTAATCTTCATGCTATTATACGCAGTCATATTTATTTTCGAAGTAGCATGGAATGCCGTTCGTTTACTAATCAATTTACTGTGAAAACGGGACTTATTCTATCAAGATATAATATCTAGTCATTACATAATTCATTAAATTTTGCAATATATCTTCATTTTAACCGCTGAATATGTAATAAGAACCATAAGTAATCACAAATTTAGCGCACTACTCCTAAATCATACATAAAAATTTAAGTATACACGTATAGGACAGCTTAAGATTAATACTACTAATAAAATGATGTACAGTACATATAAGCAATAAATTTCAACATAAACGTATAGTTTTAAAGCATGCTATCCAATTATTGCTATAATCGTATTATAGTACGATATATTATGGCATTCTATCGATTTCTCTAGACTATCCTATTTTAATCATATAACTAATACTTCGTCTATTAGTTTTGTAAATCCTATGGATTGTGTTGTACTTTTTTGATCTAAAAGAAATTTAAATTTGATTCTAGGCCTACGATTGTTAGGTATTGGACGCAATCAGTACATCGATTTAATGAATCAATGCAGATCAAGTAGGGTATGTACTAGATTTGAAACAATTTTACTATCAAATCGCTTAGACGGAGGTTATATATAAATTAGATAACTCTTTAATAATATATACTGTATATAATGTAGGGTTATGTAGTAATGTTACATAGGATAAGAAGAATTTAATAATCACACTTCTGAACTATCATTGGCTATTTTGATGGTGCAGAGATTTTTTAGGCGTCGACCAATACGAGAAATGCTTCCTACAAAACCTGTCTTTCCTAAGGCCTTGCAGCCTTGGTGGACAGTTAAAAACGGTTTTATATCTGAGGAAGATGTTAAACAGTCTTCCACAAAGGAACACAAAGCAATAGATTATATTATTGACAACAACGGAGCTATGGCCGGACTTATTGACTTGAGTATTGTCGAATGTATGTAGATTGTTAATTAATTCATTAAACTGCAAAACACTATCAATATTACAATTTCTACTTGGGTGCTTTATAGTTGATAAAAATATTTAATTTTCTGACTTTCTAGCCTTGTACACACGTGGCTTGATTTATGTTAATGTTCCTATAGCCGATAGCGACAAAATTAGTGGTTAGTATAACTATTAAAAATTATTTTTCACTTTTATCGTGTAAGAACTTAATAGTGCTTCCAAATAACAAATTTATTTTTGTTATTCGTGTAATTGCGGCATGATTCAGTCCCACCACTTGAGGGATTTGTAATGAATCGTGTACAGGGTGACTACTTCGAAACATTACTATATAAAATATTTGTGTCCATAGACGAAAATACCGATGTAGCTGAGGTTAGCATTAAAGAATAACTAAGAGCGGAATATTTATAGTCTGCCATGAGCGTCATAATGCTACGTTTGGGCGTGATTTAATGCAACGAATTTTTTGCCTTTTTATAGCTTGCAAATATATTACAGATTGATTCAGATCTAGTTAAGGTAAGTTCTTGCTATTAAAAGTGATGCGTTTGCATCTTCTGTATTATCTATTATTTTCTTTTTTGATTAAATTTTTATCTTCGCTGTATATTTTTACATACAAACTAGAGCGCAATATCAATGTTCATTAGATTAGGATATGCACATAAAAAGCATATCGATCTTGATAAGTCACAGATTCACTCATCTTGGTACTCAAAACTTATACAAGATTCAAAGAGGTAAACACACGAACCTTTATCGACGCTAACGGCAGTTAAAAACGATATAATTTATTAAAGCAATAACTATTTTAATATACTAAAAAAATTTTAGTAGTAATTTTGTATTGGAGAAAGTGCCTCTTGATATGAACCTCGACTTAAACAATGGTAATAGTGAAGATTCTGCTAGCTCAAAGATTGGGAAGGAGTCACTTACTACTCCCCTAGGTATGTTGACATTTCTTATAAAAGCTATGACCGTAAAGGTGCAAAATTTTTATCATATTAATTAATTTAGTAGACCTTAACGACCGAATTTTTACTCAACAGATATCGATTCTTCTGCATTAACACCTACCAACTATGGAAAGCGGATTGCGTTTCTTTTTGATTCAACATTGACGGCTTTTCTGATGATGGGAAATCTTTCGCAAGTAAATACATAGCGCACACATCTTCACTTAAAATTTTCAATTAATGAGTCTTGGAATATTTTATACAAGGGTTTGAAGAGCCATGCTGTGACGATGTTTGAAGTTGGAAAGCTATCTAATGAATCTCTAGATTGCTTTGTAACCGAACTAGATAAGGTATAAAATTGTATTTGTTGATGGTTCCTACTGGACCTTAGTTCGGTCGTAGTTCATGAACGATTCTACTACGAAGCGATTGCGTTACTTCTACTGCTAATGATAATCATCACTTTACTGTAACTCTTACGATTTATTTATGCAATTATAAAATACAGGTTGAACAAGATGCAGCAGAAGGAGAAGCAAGAAGATATTTTGATCATGCTCTGACATTATGCAAAACGATTAAATTCCTTCGCTATAACGAAGAACTAGCGAAGCAGCTGTGTCCAGAAGATAACACTTGCCCTGGTTTAGGTATAATTAACTTTTGACTTCCTGCCTTTTTGATGACACTGTTAGAAATGAATATACTAATAAAAATTGATGCGTCACGATAGATCTTCTGCGATGTGAAAGTCTGAACAGCTTAGACTCTCTAACTTGCAGCCGTATTATGAACAAAAATTATCAGTTAGTATTATCCCCTAAAACATTACCTTGCTAACAATGATAATAAGAAAAATATTTTCTAGTGCTATTATTCTATATCTAATTTTACTTTCTGTATGCTTTATTTAGTGTAATTCATGAAATAAACTAGCGGAAGTAATGATATCTCAACAGAAACTCTTTTTATTTGTTTAGCTTAATAATATCCATGGCTCCTTTAAGCTATGAGATTCGATCTGTTAGTAGTTGTGTACCACCACATATTGGCCCACCAATCCCTGAAGTAAATTCCGTATGGTTTAAGTTATGGCTGTATGAAAAGATGAAAGCTGGGCCTCCGTCATTACTGCTTGTGAAGGGGCTAAGATTGAAATGTATTCCGTCAATGTTTTTGGTGTGTGCGCATTTAGAATAACTGTGATAAATTTGATAGTTATATCTTTAACCATAAACATTTACCTACCCTTACAGTTAATAATTCTTTCATTAATGACTAGAAATATGATAAGCTCTTGATGACTGCTTGGGGACACGATTCCACCGAAGTAGCTACTTCAAATGTCTTGATTGCATTAAATGATGCTTTAACTCACTCAGCAGTTCTGCTTCAAGTAATTGCTATTTTGTATAAATATTATAGTAGTCTATATTCTGACTATGGAAGCTCACGAAATATAACTTAATTACTTTCAATTTCAAGGCTTATGGTTATAAAGCATCGGGGGATACTGTCCCTATTCCAATTCCCTTTGATAAGAATGACGGTATGATATAATTTTATAATTAATTACATATAATGTAAATTGTAGAAGAGAATATGTAGAGTTTGTATAATATTTTGTATAAGCATTTAGTTACTATACATACAAAGTTGTTAGCATCAGTCTAAGCAAAATAAATATTAAAAGCATTTGTTCTTGCTTTACAGATATAAAATTGCCAAGGTCTCAATACAATGAAGTTGTCGATACCTTAGAAAAACACTTAGAACTCCGATATACATGTGGCTATCTAACCATGCTTTGCCTTGACTCCAAAGACAACAAACGTACCTCCAAGGACTTTCAGATTCATGCAGCGAAGGAAGGAAGTGAGGAATTTGACTATTTTTATGCATATCATGACAAGCTTGTTCCAATTAAAGGTCACTTTTCTATTCACGATTGTTAGTTAATGAAGCTAGCGAGAATTTACCAGATGATTCACTTACGTGGCTACCTTTAGAACTAGTTTTTGGCCTACCACTATTTGATGCTGAACTAAATTTAAAAATATGTCATAAAGTACATACGCTGAAAATAGAATTACCCACGTAATTTCTTATCCTACTCGTACAATAACGACGTTTACTAATTGAAAAATTCTTCAATTTCCAGATTATATCGTTTAATTTATGTGACGAAGAAAATCTGCGACAGTCATTGAACGCGAGTAGAAAACTATCACTGAACATTCTTAAATTTATTTCAACATATCAGGTACACCTCTAATAAATTATATTAATCTCGATAAGGCGTTTGCATTATTCTACGAAACGTGTGGATACAAGCTTTGCCTACATTGTAGTATGTATACAACAGTCTTATTGACTAAGCTTTTACGGTAATCTAATGGCGATCTAGGACTTACCTGTCGGTGTGGAGCCAAGCCCAGAAGCTCCAATAACTGCTATGTATCCATGCGGAAATACCAAAATAGCAGAAGTTCCTTATCCTACAAGATGCCTTATTTTTGAAAACGGGAAATTAGATTTTTGGGCACCGTCGTGAATTTAATATCTACATTTATAAGAACATAGAATTGCAGCATATAAATTGGATATTATAGAGACAGTGTTCTAATCTAAATCATTGTAATTATCGAAATTTCGTATCGCTGACGTTGCTACATTGCGCGCATGTTGACGTCAATATTACATTACTTGACGTTATAAAAAGCAGCAACCTGTAAATACGCGTAGACAGTGTTACAGTATATGACCATGGACTAATGAAGTATTGATTTTGCTAGATGAAATAGGATGGTATGTAACCTTTTACATTATAGTGAACCATAAATTACCGGAATCTTGTGCTGTAACCTTGGTTGTAGCAGTATTTATAGATTATTTTGCTAACTGGTTCATCAGCTTCTGCATTTATCTACAAATTAAGATATATTAAATGATATTCTTTAAACAGATATATAAAAGCATGTAAAGGTATATGTAGCTATGTAAAAATGTTGTTTTATTATAAATTATAAACAACTGAGACGCCTTTTACTGTTCTAGCATTACTCTGATACAAGTACAAGGGCAGGATGCTATCAATGTAAATCTGTACTTGAAAGATTTTATTTTACCATTGTAAGAACTAAAGCATTAAAACTTCTTGTTTAGCTTAAGCTAATTGGGCAGACTATATGTTGTATTATCATCACATTTAACATAGCATAACCTAACCGATCACCTCAGAAATTAATTATAGCGAAAGATGATCAAAAGTAAGAATTTCCTATTGCGTATACAGAACGATATCATAATATTTAGTATGGCAAAAATTTATAACAATTTCCCGTTACAAAATTGAAATCATAAGGTAAGAAGTACTACGGCTTATCTAATTGTAGCTATTCATTGCAATTTCGGAATTAGATTTAATACCTAAATTTAAAAGTAGCATTGTACAATTTGACTATACTAGTGCATTTTGCATAAATTTGCACGGTAGTTTTAGTTTTATTAGTTTTTTATAAGATTCATCGTCATTTAAGAAGTGTGATGGGATCTAGCAATATCGCATATGTCAGGAATAATCATCTTTCGGAAAATTATTAGTCACAGTAAAACAAAAATGCAATCAAATTTTTATTTAAGCAATGCGTTTATATGATATTCAAATATTGACATTATTACTAGTCAATATGCTTCACAGATCTTATGCTATTGATTATTTTGATATCACAATAATCACTAGATACGGCAACATCTAATTTGTAGAGAACTTTTGAAAATTTAGTATAATATAATCATGCAACAAAACAATCATTATATATATAATTATTTTCATATTTTAATTAACAAGAATAAATTCAAGGAGTGTAATATAGATCTACAAAAAAAATGCATGCTTAAAGCCAATTTTAACGAAATCCAAATGTAAACGCTCAGCTTAATATGACGCGCTTGTTGAATCAATTTTTTTAAATCATCTCAAAGTGCTATCAATTGTAAAAGTACAACTTTCCCCTGGAGATAAACACTGATACAGAGATGTTCTTACATTTAATTATTTACTCTATTATTACAGCTTTGCATACTTGCAATATTTTAGTATTAGACCTATAAGGTATTATCTATGGCCAGTTTAGGATCAATAGCGCATATTAGTATCATATGCAACTAGTGCTGCCTAATTATAAAGACAAACGGTTCTGATTTCTTTCATAATTAACCAGAGAAAATAATTAAACAAGCATAATAACTTTAGATAGTATTTAAGGTTTTTCTAAATTAGATCTATCAATATCGCCATAATAGCATAGGAATGATGAGCTCTTGATTACTTTCTATAGAATTTCGATCTGATAAAGAGCATTGTAGTGACTTCAGTTAATCTAGAAAGCAAACGGTTTTACGCGACCTAATTATATATATATATATACTATCCAATATTCGCATAATAGCGATTAGGTTAGAAGGCTAAAACATTAGAATGGGCGACATCTGATACCGACTGTAGTATAATAAAACATAAATTTAGATTACGTTAAAAGTTCACTAGAGCTATTTTAACTTCTCGCTTGCTCATGATGTCTTCAGTATTTAGTAGCAAACGATATATGTAGAATACGTTTTGTACATTGAGATATAGACCAAGGCATCTACTGCATCGGTATACATGGCCATAAACTCCTGGCAAGTTCATTATTTGTACTCTACGCATATTATCAACTATCACTATTAACTATGAAGGTGATTAATGTATAGCATATAAATGTTGAATAATCGTTGCAAAAACTAGGAGGTGGATTAGATCATAGAAATCAATCACAAGGAATTATGCTATAAAAACCAATAGCAAAAAAATAATCTTGCCGATAATAAGCATATTACGATAATTTAATGAGATGAATTTATTTAATGAATATTACGTTTAATTTTATTATACGCTAATCAATTCATCACGAAAGCAATTAGATATGAATGATTTGCTCCTTAATCAGTTCTTGGCTTTTGCAAGGCAAGACTTTCCATTAGCAATTTTTGATGATTAACAGCCGACAACGCGATCCCTAATTGAGCTGTATAATAAGTCGACATCACAATACCTCGTTGAAAATTGCCTGGTAGTGACCAACCGCGAAACATACTAAAAACAATCATTGTATCTGAAATGCAAAATAGGACTGTTCCAATAGCTGCGAATAATTTCGTCCATTTCCATATTTCCCATGTGAATTCAACACGAGCGACTGCACGCCATGCTGCTGTACTAATTGTGATACAATACAATCCAGTTACAATTGCTACTACCTGGGGCAGCACAGGCAAAACTAATAGGTATGTCAATATTCCTAAGGCATAAATTCCTATCCCTAAGCGTACGTTAAATGGTTCAAGCCAGCCGAAACCGCATATATAAGCAATATGAGCGCAGCCAAAAAAGCATACACCGTACCCAAATAATTCTTCCCAAATAAGTAAAAAATCGCCTACACAACTTAATAGCAAACCCAATAAAACACAGTAACGATACTTGCTCTCTTCATAATTGGTTGTATGTTGTAAACAAACAAACGCAAACAAAGCCAAGATGGGCAGACATTTAATTATAGCTGCATAAAGATTGGGATTTTCATAAGGCGTCCAAGCAACAAAGTAGATGCAGACAAATTTAGTGAAAGGCACTAATTTCGGAGCTACATTCTTGAACTAAAAAAATAAATAGTTTCAGCATTAATTAAAGAATTTGCAATCGTAACTATAAACACATTTATCATATAATGCGCGTATATGCATAACAAACCTTATACGTCTGCAGCAGAATTATAAGCAGGTTGATAAAGTAACTCAATTACATTCTTATTCTTTCTAAAGTGATTCATTTATATTTACAACATTAAATCTGAAACTATAAGCTATTCTACTGAATCAAATTAAAATCTTACGATTCTATAACTATTTGATGTATTTCATGCAAAAGATTTTTATGTACCGTCGTTACGAAATATCATATTTTATTGATGGTTCTAACATCCTGTTAAATTATGACAGTCACTAAACAGTATATGGTAATGTTGTCAATGCTATCGGTTGGAGGTCATACACATATAAAGTCCCTACAGTATCTGCGTCAGTGTGAACATGACCACATACACACAATATAGTATATTTAAGTACTAAGCTGTATATCACTATTTGTAATAGAGCACTATGTCAAAATACCCAATTCAGTCTAGATATTAATATGACTAAAGTAAACGACTAGAGTTTATGATCATAAGCCAATTTTAAAAATATTATTGACACCATTGAAGACGGAAGTTAGTTTAGTATTAAACATAAAATGCTAAACTATGATTTCATTTCTGTATTTAATCCTTGGATAGCTGACTGAAGTAGGCTATAAAACTTTAGTAGTTTGCATTAAATATATCATGTACGAACAACTTTTCGTACGGTTCGATAATATTATGCTTGCAATAAGTGCTAGCTTACCTTTAACCATCTAATTTTGTGTTATTACGACTGATTACAGACGATAAGTTTATAGTCAGCAAGTCTAAGCTATACAGCTCACTACAAAGTTAACTGTATGTAAATGTAGCCGTCATTTACGAATTATGATAAATGATTACATTTTCTATTTATATTTCAGATGACCTCGATCACAGCTGATTTATTACAGTTATTAGATAGGGTCTGAAGCGGACTGTGTTAGTTAAATACAGTAATATTGCAGCAGTCTAAGATATACGAGTATGCTAGCTCGGTTAAAGCTATACTAAGGTCTAAGATAATTGTTCTTCATGTAGTAGGTTTATAGTTATTATTTCTTTTTGTATCAAGATTATATTGCAAGTTTCTCAACTGATACGTTAAGTCGTCAGTAAGTTGCAATCAATAATTAAATTGTACGTCTCGCACTGTGGCTATAGATATTTCGATTTAAATAATTATAATTCAATCCCCTATTGCTTCCTCGGAATGGAATGTTCCAGTCACTTAGCTAGCTGTATTGTCATGAATTAATAGTAGCAATTATAGACAAGTAATTTAATAAGGATGGCATATATTTATATACATCACAATGAGACTAGTCATTATATAATTGCATTAGAATTCAGAGCGTTAATAATTGCATCTTATATTTAGTTAGTATGGGTCTACTAACGAAATGCTACGTAGAATTGAGTGACATAGTTGCGGATTAATGTTAGCCTGTAGTCTATCCCCATATTTCTATAATGTATTCAATAGTCGTATACATAAATTTATTACAGAAACACATAATATCATTCCATCACACGGTTTCGTTTATGAAGGGAGATCTACCATGATTGTAAATGGGGACGAGGGAAATGTTAGAGGGTTTAATTATTAACATAACATCGTATAACTGATCATTACAGAATAATGCCAGTCGACTGATCTAATTTGAAATATATCACTCTAAGCTAAAGTTAGTACGATAGAGAGATACAGGATTGTAAATAAACCAGGATACAAATGATTACTGATGTAGTCGAACTACTTCTTAATTGACTGCTATGATGTACAAGCAGTATTTATTCTTGATTTTGATACAATCTTTTACTCGTATATACAATATTTGTGTGTTATTATATTAGCTAGAAAATATGACTAATTAAATAAATAAATAATCAGTAAAAATAAGGTTGTTTTGGCTTGTAGAATAATTATTTTGTGATCTTTGAAATTAACTTTTACTTTACTAATTTACTATCAGAGTATTTAGTTTTTCGATGAAGTGTAAAACAACCATTAGGCGTATAATTATTAACAATCTAACGATGGTTTTAGCTATAGGAGATTCAGGACGAATTTTTTATAGTTAGCCTGGCTGTCATAAAAGTTCTATTTCGAGAGAAGTAATGAGTTAATTAATCTACAATCCATAAAATATTATTTTAATGATGAATCTGATAACACAAATTTGATATAGTAGACTTTTGCATGAGTTGCTAGATTTGCCACCCCCGTCACTTTTGAGTTAATGTATGGCAAATTATGATGGTTAGTGAACATACATATACGATCATATAGATGGATTACCCAAAGGTGAATCTAGTAATCCTAGATATAAGCTACATAGATTCAAAAGTTATTGATAGTTCATTGAGAGTGAAATTCACTATACTGTGCTTAATCTTTCAGTTTCATTCAATCGATACGCTCCTTCCAAATTCAGCAATTGACATACACGATATCGTTTATCATTGTTTTGTTTTTTTGACGATATGATATAGTACAGTACGTGAAGATATATAGGATTATCATAAAGTCTGTGAATGCAAACTGTTTTCTATTCCGTGCAGTAAACCACATGCTTACGTATTTACCGTGATGATATTATCTCTCGCCTGAAAATGTAGGCAAAGCTCAAGTATGGAGCTATGATATTAAGACAAGTGCAGTAACTAGAAATTGTGTTGGTGTATTTTCATCATCTAGTGTCGCCGACGATTATACGGCAAACACCTCTACTTATAGAATAAACAATATTAAACTAGTATCGCATCGTGCCATTTTTTACTATTAATTTGTGTGCAGTTTAGGGACCATACTGCATTACGGGCTCAACTAGGTGGGAAAGGTTCTTGCTATTAGTAGATAACTAAACGTATGGGATATCAACTGTTAGGAATACCAGATTAAATAGGTACAATAATTAATACCTTGGATCAATCCTGGTTGAAGAAAAAGTATAACTCATTGATTATTAATTGTACTTCCACCTAAATTGATACAAGATATGAATAGACAGAGAACTGGCCATTGACTTGACCGCTAAATACTGCTAGTCAATTGATGATTGACACCATCAACATCATCATTTCATTCCATACTCGATATCTACATCTATCTAAACTGATTTAACCGTTATCCTTCTGTTTACATCACTTACCACATGAATTGGCGCAGTTGTATGTGGAATGTAGCAATTGTGACAGCTGATATCATTACAATGATTGCCGTGATTCGCCATCAAGCTTTCTGGTTTCTTGCTTCTTGTGGATATCACTGATGATAACACAATATCCTAATCAAATATATATATATGGTTCGCAGCGGTCATCTGCCAATCCCATGTACGCATTTGGAAGGTACTGACTCCAACGGTAGTCTATCATTGTTACGTATCATACTAATTGATTTAGGATCACAGCTTTTAGTATGCAAGTTATCGAATAATAATATAATTAATAATAATTGTTATTATTATTAATATTATCTTGTCAATACGAGTAAGAATAAATTTTATCGTCACCATAACGTGCTGTGTGTCTATATATATATATATATATATATACCGAAGATAGTACTACGGATACGCAAACAAGCGGCAAGGATTCTAGAAAGCGTAACGGAGTTGGAAAGAGTGAGGCAATTGTACCGTCCTTTACTGTACCTCGTGTACGCAAGTCCAACATTCAAGACTGTGTTCATCATAAGAAATTGAAAGCCTTCTAGTATCAGAGACTACGCTTTTAGTAGTCCCTGCAGGCTACGGTACTTAGTGATGGTCAATGCCAACAAGGAGCAGTCTCTGCTGGTCTCTTACTAGACTAGTACTCATTTTAGTCATAAGAGTAAAAGAATTGTGGTGCGTATAGCATCTATAAATCTATATCTATCTATGTATCTATCTATTTCTCTCTCATATATAACATTGCCCGTAACATATATATGACCATATATATTATATTATATACGTACACAGTACTGTATAGCTAGCCGAGAGAGAAACGAACCGTACTAGACAGTTCACAACTTATAAAATGCTGTATAAGATTGAAATACTCGAAATCGATATTGAAATCATTCATTTCATCCGAGCTGTGTATGTTATTACATTACTGATGATATACAGGATAGATCAGTAACATTATTTTAATTATTTATTTATTTTATTTTTATCAGCAAGGCATTTTCTTGATTACATAATTTTCAAAGTAGTGTATGAAGAGTAACTCTATTTTTTTATATTTTGCAGTACATGCTTGTACACCTGGGGGTTTACGACTCTGGCTTTGATCGGTTGCTAGGGAGTGACGTCAATACTTTTTACACCAATCAGAGTGATAAAACACATCGACAGCTGCAAATTCACATCATAATCAACACCTGTGCCAGGTTGCAAAAATAAAAAGGAAGTGATTGTAATTTATGGTATGTGATATGATTACGTTAGGAGATAATGATTATCAGTAATTTTCAATTTAGGATGACAGTACTTCGAAACATATCACTATCAACTCATCAAAATTGTCATTAGTCAATCTGGCTAACTACGTGTATGCTACACACTACTTACACAGTGTACAAATAGATTGTAAATACAGTAGCTATAGGAGTAATATCCTAACTGTAGATGCACAAGCAACTTACTGTATTCTGGTTGTATAGTACTGCAGGGAAATTATAAATTCATCGATAGAAATGATGACCTTTTTTACAAGCGAGCAAGAATTAATGGTACACTTGTGATATGTAAAAACACTTACGATATGGAATAGAAGGATACCGTGTTGCATAACATACATCTTGTAGGAACTTTTTGAAATAATAAAGGTTTATTTTATGGCTTGCGGAAACGAAAATAAATATACACGTTCACTCTACACTACACACGTTCCCTAGTTCTATAATGTGTGGCTAGTTAATACAATATCTCAGTTTAAGAAGTGTAAGAAAATTCCCTGCATGAGTACCCGTACTATAATAATAGGGTAATAAAATAAAAACAGATCGTTCGATGAGGGCAGTTTTCAATACTTCACTTCTTTCCATATTGATTATAATTACTAGTACTTGGATAACACTAAAAAAAACCCTGGCTCAGGCAAATGCTGTCAATTGAAATGAACTAAGAGCTAAGAAAATAATATTTTTTACTTCTTGCAGTCATACCTAGGCTTAGGATTATACAGGAAAATAAGTAGGATTTAACACAAATTTACTTATAATTGCATTATAGTAAATACGCGTATTACAATTTTATTCATCATATGATCAATTTGACCGGTACTTGAAAATAATCAAAATATAAATATGCATATTACGAATACACTATTGCCTTATCTTTTTAATATATTAAGAGAACATATTTGCAAAGGCTCTACGGCTACGTACTGTGTATAGGTAATTATTTATAGGAATAGCAGATGCCTGAATCTCTATTGCTGCCTCCCGTTTCAATAGTTTATAGTATTCTTGATAATATAGAACGAAGATAGAAAATAAATAAAACTATTAAGGGAATAATATAATAAAGCCAATGTGCTAGCATAAATAGCGCTATTATAACGCATAAAGTCTTAGCTTAATGGTTCTATTCGTATTTTGCATTCTTTATTTACAAATTTTCTATGAGTTTTTATAATTCATTGCAAGAAAACATTACGCTTCCACTCCCCACGTCATTCACTTTCATTGTATAATCGCCTATTTTTTCCATGACGCTTTACAGCTGCAGCTTGATAGGGCATTTATTGACTATAACTAGGTCACGGCTCGTGACTCACCAATGAGTTACAGCGTAACAGCAGTTTAAATAAATAAAACATTCTAATAATAATAATATTAATTATTATAATTTTGAAATTTAAAAAATTTTAAATGTTAATACGACTGTTGCCCGAAGGCATTCACGTTGGCTATGATTAGATTAATGAAGATGTACACCTGGTTTCAATTCTTATAACGACATCATTTACTGTAATAGCGACATCTCGATTTAGAGTTGAAATTGTTACTATAATAAATTTATGATCTATTTTTTCTTCGACAATATGATCATTACGTAAATCGATAAATCCTTAAACCAATCAAATGAGTTTTTAGTCAATATTTCGAGCCGCGATGGAATATTTTATAAATTATAATATACTTTATGAGGCATTTATCGGAAAATAATGTATTTAGAAGATTCGAAGGAAATTAAAGAATCTATATCAAGATAGATATACTTTGTAAATTATGACATCTATTAATAAGCATAAATCCACCATAACATCAAGAACAGTATTGTTTTAATGCGCTGTGCAAGCAAATTGTTCATTTTTTTACCCTATTTTTCATACTCAAATTATATCTGCATACCTGCTTTTGACTATAAGTATAATTTTATTAGTTTATAGGCGAACGACGTAATAATTATAAAAATTGTACACTTTTATCGCGACTATCACCTTCTGACCTTAGAAATTTAAACCAGTACATTTAAAGTGTCTATTATTGTAGAGTCGTCGCAATAATATTCCTTAATCGACATACAGAATCGAGTAAACTGCATTTAGCTTGATAGCGCCAATCAAGGATAAATTTTATACCTAGCAGTTAAACATCGACTGGTATATAGAACTAAAGATATATCCGGTGATAGATGTTATAGCATTAAGATATTACTTTTCTACAACACTCAATAAAAAATATAAAATATTTTATGCTAACATCTACACCTACGTGTACATCCATTCCATATTAGGTCAAAAGATCTCTCAAACCTTTAATAGAATAGCGCAATATTTAAGTGCATCATTTCATAATCATTATTTATTTCTATACTTTTCTAAATGTCATGATTCATGAATATTCTTCATGGCTATATTTATATCTAATTGAGATAGTGAAACCTGATTCACTTGGCTCAGTTAGTTTAGTTATTTCAAGTGTTGGAAGATAGAATAATTAAATAGCTAATTATTGTAATAGTATCATATCACAACGCAAGGTCTTCATTTGAATAATAATAAAATGATTGATTTGCATTCTCTATCTTGTACATAAGAGAGCAGTTGTTTTCTAAATAGCATATGTGCCACGCTGTATTCTTTAAGCCGATTATCATCATATTTGTTTTAACATTGTATATTAAGAGACTTCCCACTACTGTATTCATATTTATTCAACTACATCAGTTTATTCATACATTCATTAATTCTCATCATCAATCAGTAAAATGCTCATTTCATCATGTAATCTAAACAATATTGACTAAGCCGATAAGCTTTGCCACTAGTTAATTTCTCATGGTATAGTAATAGTGCATCCAGTAGCGGTAGTCCAGGATGTTAGTGCAATGCAATTTTTAATTATCTTTGAGAATAAATCATATATTCATGTCTATGAGCAGTACATCAACAGTTAATTATGATTATAATACATATATGAGCACTATAAATAAGTAATTAATTATAATTAGAGATTGTCTCCAAGTAATAGGGCATAGCTATGCTGAGACAGCATTAATCTTACTCAAGGTATGAGTTTAACGAGTCAAAAATTACATTCATACAATTAACAGTAAAGTACAGATGTTAACTTGTTGCTATAGTCGATCTTCAATATGCTTAACTCAAATGCTGCAGTCACACAAATGAATCTTTTATAAAAATGAATCGAAATTATCGCTCGATTTTGCGTTATATTTTTGAAGTTCTTGATCGCTTGCTGTCTTCAATTCTGGGTTCAAGTATATGCCGCGTATACGGTTAATCTTCAAATATATTAATAATAAATAGTAATAATAATAATAATTATTATTAGTTGTAATATTATTTATTATTATTAAAATTATTATTGTTATTATTATTATTTTTGGTCATTGTTGTATAGTACATAGGGTACTATACTGTCCAGTATACTAGTGATGTATACGCGTATTGTATACTATCGACGACGTACGTACTGCAGCTGCGATTATAATTATTATTACAATCTACGGTATGTATAAAAAGACTAAAGGTAATCCGTTGCCTCTAGTTGTTAGTAGTTACCAGTGTCGGAATACGTCATACTTGAGAAATGAAAGTTATTTCTCTCTTCTCTATATTATGACTTTACAATTTTTGATGTACGATGCCATTGAGCTATCATGGGCTATCGTCTTTGCAGTTTATGTGGTGTTAAATATCTACAATCACGTAATGTTATATATTGACTTCATCAGCATGTTATGCAACTTTTATAGCCTACGCTTTAACA